AAAAAAAAAAAAAAAAAAAATACTATGAAAACAAGTGAAGACAGTGTGACAGAAAGTGACTGTTTGGGAAGGGCCACTTTACAGTGGACAGTCAGGGTGGTCACTTTTGGCCTGAGGCCTGCATGAGGAGAAGGACCAGGGCAAGAGCTCCCAGACAGGACTGGGCTTGGCATGCTTGAGCAATGGAAAGAAGGCTGGAAGTGAGGCAAGAGGGCCGGGCACGGGCCACTGAAAGTCAGCTGTTAGCAGCGTCATCATTAACTGTCCCCATTTGGGTCTCAGTTTTGTGGATTTCCTTGTAAGTGGGCCAGAGACAGGGCTGGGAGACCAGGTTTGGGAGAGAGTTTCCCTGCCAGGAAATCCACTTGGGAAAAGCAGTGAAGTGTGTCCTTACTTGAGTTTTGGAGTCAGCAAACAGCCCTCTAGGGTCTTATGAGGTGCTTGTGGCCAAGGTGATTGGCTCAAGGATGACTGGATGCCGTCCTGCTGACATGCCAGGGGCACTCAATAGTTCAGCTTTTTTTTTTTTTTTTTTGGAGGCGGAGTCTCACTCTGTCGCCCAGGCTGGAGTGCAGTGGTGTGATCTCTGCTCACTGCAACCTCTGCCTCCCGGGTTCAAGTGCTTCTCCTGCCTTAGCCTCCCAAGTAACTGGGATTAATTTTTTTGTATTTTTATTAGAGATGGGGTTTCACCATGTTAGTCAGGCTGGTCTCAAACTCCTGACCTCAGGTGATCCACCCACCTCTGCCTCCCAAAGTTCTGGGATTACAGACATGAGCCACCATGCCCCGTCGCATTTTAGCTTTTTCCAGGTGGGAATCTAGCTTGGGCCCTTAATCCTTCTCATGGGAGAAAGAAATTGTGATTTATTATTTGAACCCTGCAGACTTTCAAAAGCACTTTTGTTATATATAAGAATCAAGGATTGTGACAAACTAGAAGGTATGGAGTGGAAGAGAGGAAACCTAGGGAAGGTTGCTGCTACTGAGTGAACTGCACACTGAGCTCCCTGGTAGCCAAAGCAAAGAGAGAAAGTAGATGAACCATATGACATTCTCAGCCTGTCTCTAGGGAGTTGACAGTAGTCCCGTAGACAGGGAGGTTCAGGCCAGTGCCTTAAGCTTGCTTGTCCTAATTCTCCTCCCTTCTCAGTCCCCTTTGTCTCCTGCTTTCTTCTCGTCGGTATTGCAGGATTTATGAGCCTTTGCTAGCAGCATGTTTCCTTTGAGGGCAGGGATGAAGTGCACTGAACATAGTTGATTTCCTGGTGCCCGTACGGTCTCACACAGGAGATGCTTAACATGTATTTTTTGAATGAGTGAATAAAAGAAGGTCGTTAGTGTTTCTACTGAGGCTTTGCTGTCCTGTCACAAACCCTTCCCTCTCCCTGTTCTCGGCCTCTCCTTTTGCTTTCCTTCTTTTATGAATCTGCCTCTTGCTGGGGCGAGGAGGTCTGGGGTGCTGTGGGCACCTACTCTGTCTCTGAATGGTGGGAGAAGCCATTTATTCTTGTCTTCCTGGAAAGCAACCCCACCACCGTTCTACCCTCTCTGCTGATGCTTCCCTTCCTCTCAGCGTTTCCGACACATGGGGCAGAGGGGCTCCGGGACCAGCAGAGTAGCACTGTTCCACACTTCGGGCAGGTTATCTTGCTTCTCTGAGCCTCAGTTTCCCCACTGGGCAAGGGCTAATATTTCTCCCCTATGCTGCCAAGAGGAACCAATCACAACTTTATTAATATCATTTTAAAGCATTTTGTCAGAGGCCTTCGGAGTTTTACTTTTTAAAGCGATTATTCGATGAAGACGTTTTTATTATAAAAGTTTTAAACCTAAAGTTATTAGCATAATAAACCTCTACACATCCATCATCAGATTCAACATAACAGTTTATTTTTATTATTTTACTTTATTTTATTTATATTTTTGAGACAGGATCTCACTCTGTTGGGCATGCTGGAGTGCAGTGGCGTGATCATGGCTCACTACAGCCGTAACCTTCCCGGGCTCAGGTAATTCTCCATCCCAGCCTCCTGAGTAGCTGGGACTATAAGTGTGCACCACCACACCCAGCTAATTTTTCTATTTGTTGTAGAGACAGGGTTTCACCATGTTGCCCAGGCTGGTCTCAAACTCCTGGGCTCAAGTGATCCTCCTACCTCTGTGTTTCAAAGTGCTGGGATTTCAGGCGTGAGCCACCACACCCAGCCTAACTATTTTTAACGACATCCACATCACATGAATAGAGTTTCATTGTAAAGCAGTCCAGCATTTTAGATAAGTTTTTGTTAGGGCCTTTACCCATATGCTTTGAGGAGTTTCCTAGGCTTCTGACATATGTGTGTGTATATGCGCACACAGAAAAGGTTTTATTTATTTATTTAACATAAAATAGTATCATACTGTCTGTATTCTACAAGTTGTTGTTGTTGTTTTTGATTAACTATATGTCTTAGAACACTTTGTTTTTTTTTTCGGAGATGGAATTTGGCTCTCGTTGCCCAGGCTGGAGTGCAATGGCATGATCTCCACTCATTGAAACCTCCGCCTCCTGAGTTCAAGCGATTCTCCTGCCTCAGCCTCAGGATTAGCTGGGATTACAGGCGCCTGCCACCATGCCCGGCTAATTTTTGTATTTTTAGTAGAGATGGGGTTTCTCCATGTTGGTCGGGCTGGTCTTGAACTCCTGGCCTCAAGTGATCTTCCTGCCTCAGCCTCCCAAAGTGTTGGGATTACAGGCGTGAGCCACCGCGCCCGGCCTTAGAGCACTTCTTATGCCAAAATGTGAAAGTCTAGCTTCTTTTCAGCAGCTTAGTCTGCGCCATGGCTAATTTCACCCTGCTCCTCCCCCCACCCCCGGCAGACAGTCGTCAGGCGTTTCCAGTTGTTTTGCTGTGACAATGTCGCAGTGCACGTTCCTGTCTATGACCCTGTGCACAGGTGCACATATGTTTTAGAAAATATTTTGCACTGGAATATTTGGGTTCAAACACATGCACATTTAAAGTTATAATAGTGTCCAGGCGTGGTGACTCATGCCTGTAATCCCAGCATTTTGGGAGGCTGAGGTGGGCAGATCGCCTGAGGTCAGGAGTTTCAAGACCAACCTGGCCAACATGGTAGAACCCCGTCTCTGCTAAAAATACAAAAATTAACCAGGCGTGGTGGGTCATGCTTGTAATCCCAGCTACTCAGGAGGCTGAGGCAGGAGAATCGCTTGAACCTGGGAGGCAGCGGTTGCAGTGAGCCCAGATTGCACCATTGAACTCCAGCCTGGGTGACAGAGCAAGATCCTGTGTCAAACAAAACAAAACAAAAAACCCCAAACCCAAAAGCCTTTTTGTAAGCCAGTGTGTCAGCCTTTTCTTTGTGGTTTCTGCCTTTTGGATCTTGCTTAAGAAGAAGCAAGATCTTTGGATCTTCCCTACCAAAAGGTTAGTTATAAATTCCTAATTTTTTTTTTTTAAAGCTTAGTTCTTTAATCCACCATTTGTTTACAGCGTGGTGGCAGCTCTTTGGGAAATGCTGTTTCTGTTGGTACACGTTGAGACCCTCTCCTCCTCCCAGCCTCTGTCCCTTCCATCTGGAAGTTCTCCAGCCTCTAGCAGGCTGAACGCCTCTCCCTCTGCCCTTCCTGCTCAGTCTTCAGCATACAATTCACTCCCTGCCAGGGCCAGATGTTAGCCTTACCTGAGACACCCTTCTCCCCAGCCTGTGGTCCTGAGGGTCCTCGGACACCCTGCTTTCTCCACCCTTCGTGTGCCCTCTGCCTCTCCTTAAGGTCCTCCTCATTTCTTTCCCTGGTTTTGGCTGCCTCTAATGCATCCTCCAATTTTGCAGCCCGAGAGATCTGAAAGCACCCAGGCACCAAACTCCAAGTTCTGGTGTGGCCAGTTCCCTACTTCAAGGCCTTCTGTGACTTTAGTGCTTAGGATAAGCTCTGACCTCTTAGCCTGGCTTAGGAGCTGGCCCTGCCCAGCCTCCTAAACTTCTGAGGTCCCAGGTGAGAGCCTCTGGGAAGACGCAGATGCTCTCTGGCTGTGAAGGGCCCTTGCTCTTGGTCCCCCAGCTCCTGTCCCTCACTGAATCGTGGCACTTAGTTCTCAGTGGCACTGTGGGCTTTTTTTTTTTTTGAGATGGAGTCTCACTCTGCTGGAGTGCAGTGGATTGGTCTCAGCCCACTACAACCTTCACTTCCCGGGTTCAAGCGATTCTCCTGCTTCAGCGTCCCGAGTAGCTGGGATTACAGGCGCGCACCACCAGGCCCAGCTAATTTTTGTAATTTTAGTAAAGACGTGGTTTCACCATGTTGGCCAGGCTGGTCTCGAACTCCGGACCTCGGGTGATCCTCCCACCTCGGCCGTCCAAAGTGCTGGGATGACAGGCGTGAGGCACCTCGCCCAGCCACTGTGGTCTCTTGAGGAAAATCATGGACACTGCGTCTGTGCGCCCTTGACCCCTGAACCCCCGCGCTGGTGCAGGAGCAGGCGCTCCACACGCGCTCCTTGGGCCGCGCAAGCCCGAAGGGAGCAAAGAATAAAGCTGGGATTCCCGGTGGCGGGAGACACAGCGAGGAGCCCTGATTTCCCTGTGGTTCGCGGGAGGGTGTGGAGGCCACAGAGGGCGGGCGGGCCAGCCCCCTCCCCGCCCCCGCCCCCCGGCGCTGAGGCTCCCGCGCCCCGTCCCCGGTCCGCAGGGCAGACGGCGCTGAACATCGCCATCGAGCGGCGGCAGGGGGACATCACGGCGCTGCTCATCGCCGCCGGCGCCGACGTCAACGCCCACGCCAAGGGGGCCTTCTTCAACCCCAAGAACCAGCACGAGGGCTTCTACTTCGGTGGGTGCCGCCCCCGCCCGGCGCGGAGTCTGGGAGGAAGGAGGAGGGAGAAGGAGGGAGGGAGGAGGGAGGGAGGGAGGATGGAAAGGAAGGAGGGAGAAGGAGGAGGGAAGGGAGGAGGGAGGAGGGAAGGGGAAGAGGAAGAAGGAGGAGGGAGAAGGGAGGAGCAAGGAAGGAAGAGGGAGGAGGAATGAAGGAGGAGGGAGAGGGAGGGAGAGGGAGGGAGGAGGAAGAGGGAGGAGGGAGGAAGGGACAGGCCGCCTCGCTCTGCAATCCACCCCCACGGTCAAGAGGCTCTGGTGCCCCAGAGGACAGAGCTGGGCAGGGAGGAGGCTGGAGATGTCCATCTGGGAGTGTCCATCTCCACCAGTGTGGACCAGAGAAGGAGGGGCTGGGAGGTGGGGGGGGAGGAGCCCACATTCCGGGGGTGTCACCTGGTGGTCTCAGAAGCATCGTCCTGGACATCCCTCTGAGGGAACAGAGACCTGGGAGGGAGGCCAAGGAGGAAGCCGCATTTTACAGGCGAGGAGATCGCTCTTCGAAGGGGAAGGACTTGCCCCAGTGTAGCAGGGCATTGACTTCGGCGTCCAGGCCTCCAGCTCTGGCCTCAGTGCCTCTCAGGACTGCAGACAGGGAGTCGAGAGTGAGAGGACCAAACTCCTCTGCCCGACAAGTTACAGAGTCCAAAAGCAACTGGGGTTAGGATGCTGTGCGAAAAAAAAATGGAAATGCGTAATGCAGACACAGTGAAATCCAGCCGTTTAGAGCACGGTTCTGTTCATTTTCACGGCATGGACGGTTGACTAACCACCACTGCAATCAGGACAGGAACCAAGGGCTCCTTCACACCCGAAAAGTTCTCTGTGCAACTTTGTTGCAGACGAGACCCCTCCTCCCATCCAGTCTTGCCTGACTGGCCATCACCCATCAGTTTTCTCTTCTGGGTGTTTTGAAGATGGAGTCTCGCTCTGTTGCCCAGGCTGCTGGAGTGCAGTGGCGCAATCTCGGCTCACTGCAACCTCTGCCTTCTGGGAGTGATTCTCACGCCTCAGCCTCCTAAGTAGCTGGGACTATCTTCTGGGTAGTTTTTATCAGCAGGACTAGCTAGCCTGCGCTCTGGGCAGCCCTGGGTGTCCCGGTCTGGGTGTCCTGACAAACACGGTATTGTCCAGTTCCTAGTGTGTACCATTACCCTGCACGGAACCTGGTTGGAACCAGTGTAATATGACAGGAAATGATAAGTGCTCTTCAAAAATGCAAAGTAAAGCAGAGGACAGGAATTGGGAGTTCTGTCTGGGGCAAGAAGGGGGTGGATTTTAATTTTATTTATTTATTTATTATTATTTTTGAGACGGAGTCTCCCTCCGTCGCCCAGGCTGGAGTGCAATGGCTTGACCTTGGCTCACAGCAACCTTCGCCTCCAAGGTTCAAGCAATTCTCTTGTCTCAACCTCCCAAGTAGCTGGGATTACAGGCATGCGCCACCACGCCTGGCTAATTTTT